CATTCACCACCTCCCTCTCGTTTACGGGGGTAGCCCTTTTCAATTGCTTCTGGGCGCAAAAAAAAGTGTGTTAGCGGCCTAAGATAATCCATCACTCGATTTCGTTCCTTGTGTGGTGTAGGAGGCAACTATTGGAAATACTGTAAAAATATTATGGCTTCCGGTAGATGGCGGTATAAACAATTCGTTAACACCAGAAGTAAAATATTCAGATCGGCGGCAGGTAACCGTGTTAAATGTGCGACATTACTGTTAGCGTGAATACCGCCTGTCAATTGTTGACGAAAAGATAAATCGTAAAACAGGAAGGGCTCAGGTCCAGCAGTGCTTTTTTACGGGATACTATAGAAGATGAAGATAACAACAACGTAGTGAGTAAAGTCGTATTATTATAGATTTGCTAAAAAATCTGCCGTTTCTTTCTTTGACTATACAGTGTCTGTGAGTACGGATAGATAGAAATTTGTTTTGGATTGTTGTTTTTACTCATCATATAACACCTTTTACTCATCATGTGCGTACACACACATACTGTGCGTTTTTTGTTTGATCGATTACATTTAGGAAATTTCAACCTCAACAAGAACACCGTGGGCAAAGGAAGCCTAAAGTCGATATTGACCATAAGAAATCTACGGTAAAGGCGAATTCATCTCAGTCTGTAAATGACAAAACACAAGCATAAATGTGTGACATGTGCATAAAATTGATGAACCTATGGAAACATCGTAGCAAAGTTTAGTCTGACACACTGTGTGACTTTCATTAAATACTTGACGCTGGTATAATCCATTAGTAGTAGCCAAACTAGGAGAAAGAGTTTGCCTTAATTGTTCAATCGGCTCATAAACGAAGACATTCCGAATCGGTTGACCACTTTGATGTCATTGAAATTATCGAAAAGGCAAAGGTTTGTCTTATATGACAGTACTTAGCGTGTGTCTTTTTCAACATCGGACAACCAGTGGTTAGAGGTACCTACCTCATTGTTGTCGATATTCCGTGGATTCAAACCTAACGGTTTGCGTCCTCTTTCGTGTTGCGTGCAACAAAGGAATGGGATAATTTTCCGATGTCTGTCTTTTCAAAAATGTTCCAGATCGAAGATGATGACCAACCAATATTTCTAGTTGTTCAGATAAGTAGAAAATACATAGTGAGATATTAGCTACATTAGATAAACATACCTTTTACGTCGTGAGAGACTACATTGTAAGGATTCAGGATTAAAATCAATGTATGTATGTATTGTGTTAATACAGTAATAATATTCCTATAAATAACTTAAAGGCCACCGCTTTCGTTTAACATGTAAAATCTGTAATATATTTAGCAAGCACTGTATTCCCTCGTAAGTATTGACTGTTTTTACTAAAACGATAAATCCTCAAACTTTGTTCTAGATGTGCATATCTGTACTAAAATTATCAAATTAAAAGCATTTGTTTCTGTCAAGTTATATAATTCAAATTCGAGCGTGTATGCGCACAAAACAAATATTTTAGCTAACGCCTACCACGATCATTACGTAATTTTTGAATGTCGGGTCACGACTCTGATGACGCCATCGACTGAAGAAGAATCGTGTTCATTTTACATGTTAAATATACATTTGTATATAATTTGGTTATAAGTAATTATTCTTAATAAACATAAGGTTTTATATACTTTGATAATATGATGGACTTTTAATATTAGCACAACTTATAATACAGTGGTTTTTATTTCAAATTCATTAATTAATTTATCATAGGCTATTAAAAGTTCACTGCTGAACATAGACCTTCCTATAGATTACCTCATAAGGAGAATATTTGCCATAGTTTTCACGCTTGGCAGAATTGTGTTGCCAATGTTTCAGGGTTGCCAACCGTAGTTTATTTATTATTTTGAGTTGTTTTCAGGAAAATGCTGCTGCCCATCTACTGTTTCATTTCCCTCTGCCGCCTCTTACGCTGGCGCACACCCACGTAACGATGTGGGATAGTGGATTCTCTCGCTAATACACGAAGTAAAAAAAGCAACATAAATTTTTCACCAATATCAAGTTTTCTTTTTCATTTTATAGCCGCATTAAGTAACATCTCATATATATTTCTTTTTACTTATTATAATAAGCCAGTGCTTGACCACAATCTCACATGGCGGTACGTGGTGATGCAGCCTTAGATGGTACATCGCACTGTCTTAGCGTAACAAAAACCTATTCACTCTTGCACTCCTTTACTGTACGCATTACAAAGGACGAAGCAAACCTTTTAGTTCTAATGCGTGGAATATCGACAACAAAGGGATGAAGACCCGCCGACCGCCTGGTTGTCCGATGGTGGAAAGGAGAGGCAGGAATTAAATGTAATTCTTGCGCACACTCACCGAAATGCTTCCTATATACTGAGAGACTGGTTACTCTGCGCTTGTGCTCGAGGCTAACAAAATTGGTTTCAACCAAATCAAAGTCACCAATGAGCCTCTTAGCACTTCTCTCCACTGAGTCCAACGCTACCAGGTAGCATTTTGCAGCACCAGCTTATATGTGACAGCAGTACTCCATGCACGACCGGACTTTAAAATAACTGTCCCATAGCTATGCTCTAGTAATTAAGCGGCAATAGTCCATTACAGAGTTCGTGTTGACAGATTTTGTAATGACGAAATTTTATTTCTAATAATAATTATATTTATATGTTTATTATTATCTTTTATTAATTCTATGGATAAGTCGCCTTCGAATCGTCATGTACATGATACTCGTCATAATGAAATAGAATGTGAAGGAGGTCAGGGCGTGCTTTGCTAACTTGGTAAGAATGTACGTACGGACGTTCTTTAACATAATGGTTTTCAGCAAAGTAATGCATTAACCTTTCTTTAAATTTCTTAATTATTTTTCTTTTTTTTTCCCGAAAATCTAATTCACATATTTTTCAAAAGTAACACGAATATCTATAACGTTATATAAATGTGTATCACGTATCTTTATTCAAATATTACACACAACCTTTTACACATTATGTTTATAATAGTTATTGTTTTAAAAACAATATTCTGTTATTATACGAGTGTGTGATTAATTTTTGCCAAATACAAATCTATGAGGCTATTGAAAACTGTAATCAATCTGTGATTCAATACTATAATAGTCAGGCATGACGTGTGTATTAATGCCGCCATATTTTTTAACGAAATATATATTAGAATAATTCAAATTACGAATTCAGAAATGAACATCAACTATGATATGTTGTTCAATTATTTTCTATATCAATAACTCTTCGATATTTTTTATCATAAGACATATATATGTCACAGCCAACTAGCTTATTTAGCCTTTTAATTAACAGCCTAGTCTTTTTACTAAACGGCGCCGTTCAACTAGCGGCCTGAATGATATTCAGCCGATGTATCTTTGTACCGTCAATGAAAGATGAAATTTCATTTATTTTATGTAAATTACCTTCATGGGATAGTCATCAACCCTACAAATACTCCCTTTCCTTCTTAAAAAGTAACCACAAGGATACTAACATTCGCATTTCTATTACATTTTCTTTTTTTCCCGTCATAGCTTTGCTGGCAGCATTTTAAATGTGTCATGGACAACGATATCATGTCTTCTGTCCTTATTATTTTCCGTATCATAAAATCCGCTAATACCCGGGCGTAAGAGAGAATATTGGCTTTTAAAATTAACTGTCATCACTTGATTCTTATGCCTTCTCCGCACTTTACTATCCCCAATAATGACCCCAGAAACCGGTCCAGTTTTCTTTATTATCGTTCCCTCATGCCACATGTGCTCTTTTGTATATAACTACGCAGTACAATATCTCCGATCCTTAAATCTCAACCCTACCCTAGCGTTAGTTAAGCTTTCGAAAGTTCTTCGAAAGTTCCGCTGGGTTTCTTGCTGGTTCTACCCAGGAGACCGGTTTTTTTCCAAACCAGGTTAAAATGAGAAAACGGCCGAATAAGAATTATTTGTAAATATTGAATAAATATTACTATATTCTATACTAATACTTCTTAAGTGGTAACGTAATAAAGCTATCGCAGTCCGCAATTAAGATACTAAAATAAACATTTATTCAAGGCTTGTGAAATATAAAGTTATCTGTGGATAATATGCAATATTTACAGGATATACAAACACCTACCTATATAATCACATTTTAATAGAATCAGTTATGTTGTGACTAGAAAAGGCATTAAGAATATACATATCAACAATTAATAGTGGTAGAGCCACGCGGCAGCTTTTGCTGTCGCACGGATGGGCCGGCTCGAACCGGGGTGGTACCACGACCTCACAGAATACCAGCGTGAAGTAGAGGTTTACCTCTGCGTTTCGTTTGGTGAGTGCCGGAGGCCCTTTTTACTGGAAATGAGGCATTCCATCTTGGTCCTCACGGGTGACAACGCATCTGCATTTTGATTCGCAAACGAGGATAGATGTAGATGTCTATGGGCCGCAGCAAACACTTACCATCAGGTGGACTGTGTGCTCGTTTGTCACCCCTATCCTATAAAAAAATATCATGTTATAATGAATGTATCGCCATATCTCAGTTTTTACTCCCTCCAAAGGAATTAACAGAAAGTGGCAAGATTTCAGAATCCATATAAAAGTACAAATAATAATTATTTTAAATTCAAGCATGAAAATTGCATTATTCCTTTACTCCTTCGGTTGCCTGGAAGAGATCGCTATGTAGCGATAAGGCCGCCAAATTGTACATATATTTAATCTGCTTTCTGTTATGTCATTTGTATATTTGTTCGTGGTGTACAAGAAAAGTATATTCATTCGTTCATTCATGTAAATTTAAAAAAAAAACTAGAACAAAGAGGGTAATTAAACATTACGAAATGTAGTCCTAGCGCAACGATGTGCTTAGTTGGAGTGGTTGGTGTGGAAGTGGAGGGAGTGGAGGGAGTGGCGTGAGAGTGGAGCGGCGGACATTTATGTAAATAATATTGTTTGCGTCTAAAAAAGTACTAACCACTTGTGCTGTGATTGTCATGCTGCCTTGTGTAGTCATTTCTCTCGGGCGAAGGTGCTAGGTCACTGCCGATACCAGAACTGCCCCCAGAAGACTCCAGCTTACGTCTAGCGTTTACTCCAACGATACTTTGGTTGAGACATCTGCGAGTATCTATGTTACTGAGGTTGCCTTTCTGACGGTGCACCGTGTCGTAATCCCGCGGGGGAAGCAGGATGGGACTCTTTCCTGGAATTGGCAGATCTGTTTTTAGTGTTTAGAATTGTTTCTAAACATACAAATTTTATCTACTGCATAAAGCTGATACAAAATACTACAACTTGGTATCGAATAATCTTTAAATCAATAATAATAAGCTACACTTCGAGTAGAAAAAGCGAAAGAATATAATTAAAATAAATATTATTTTTCTGTGTTTGTATAATTAATAAGTGAGTCATACTATAACAACATAACTACAATAAAATAACCTATAATCTTTAAGAGATAATAACACATATGTATAAAAGTAATTATAAATATTATGTAAAATGGGTTTATAATACTGCAGTTAACATGTATTTAATATTACATTATAGAAAATAAATATCAAATATCTTATGAGAAGCTTTAATTAAAGTACATACCAATACGTAAACGCTAAAGTGCGCAAACTAATTGCGTGGAAGCGATCACTAGCTACTCAAATCAATAAATCACACTAACCTAGTCCCTTTTTACCTGTTGACAACTTCTGTTTCAATTCGGCGGCCAAACTGTCGTAAAGGTTGGCAACGCATCGCTCTTCAGTGCTGCCGGAATCTGATTCCCTAGAGACTTCACTGCCCAAGGAAGAGTCTGGAGGCTTCTTCGAGGGCAAAGCACCACGCATTTGCAATTTCCGCTCAATGTCAGCAAATTTCTTTTGATTTTCGGGTCTCTCGATCAACGCTTGAAGGTGCGTGAAAAGCATCTCCGCGGTGTGATCTGAATCACATCTGTTGGAATAAAAGTGATTTAAATTTGATGGTATGTACTATATTTATTTATGTGGTTTATTAACTTTATGCACGTGGAGTGGCGGTGTAAGAATATACAATATCCTATATAGTTCCGTGGGTACCGTACGAGATGACAGAGGGAAACAAACTAGGATAAGGGCAGTGGTGTCTTTCTGGTAACAATTAAAATATGAAAAACTGCACTTGTCAAACTGCTTGCCAAACGTGGCAACTATGGCAAAAATCCCTCATATGAGGCAATCTACGGCGAAGGTCTATGCTCAGTAGTGGAATTATTGTCGTAAGCCGTATCGGTGTAAAGGTATCTTAAACGTATTCCGCTGTCTAATGCGTAATTTAAGTTTCTGTCCATCCAAAGGTGGCCTGGAACAGATCGTTTTTAGCGATAAGGTCACCCATTGTACATTTAATTTAACACATTTTCTGTAATTTTCGTTTATTATTATAAACTTCCGACATGTAAGGTACTCATTTAGATATATTAATTAGGTATACTTGTTTTATAAATGTGCGTATTTTATTGTTATTAGGACCTCATAAGGTTACTTAGGGCCATAGCAAAGAATTCAAACAATACCGTAGTATAATATTTAAGCAATTTTTTGTCTTCTTTTTTTCTTATTAAAAAATAACGTTATCGTTACCCCACACTAGGATTTTCTCCTGTATCGTGGAGGCAGTTTACAAACATAAACTGCATAAGGACTAACATCCATATCCAACATCCACACAATTATCGTTAGGACTTTAAATGTTTTGACATAAGCAATTATAGTCGGCTGTGGTCGTTTTTTTTTTCTCTAATTATCTTAATGTATAGTGAAAGTAAGATTTACTAATCTTTACGCCGTTTTTTAACAATGTTACGACATTGGTTTGACGGGACGTGTCCTTTTGTGTGTTGTGTGTAGCAAGGGTAGTTTAACGCCATATATCTATATCTTATTATCTTAATAAAGCCGTTAGCCGTTACACATACAGTATTTTCTTTTCTAAACTTTTATTTAATAATGTAGTAATATATATATATATATATATATATATATATATATATATATATATACTATTATACTTTTCGGTGTAAAAGTTGCACAAATCAGTAGCAAGACGCCTAGATAACGATTAAATGTTTTTATATGCATTCAACACTCGTTACTTAGAGCAACTAGAGGTTTCTACCAAATAAAGTATAGCGCCAAAACTGATTACATTTATTACTAAATACCACATTTATGTTGTTCCGCAATAGTATCGATAAATATTATACTTAGTTGTATCCCTAAAGTTCAAACTTATCACACAAGTATCAAATCGGGCACTGGTTGGTTAGGACGAGACCCCCTCCCCCAGAACGTGTTCCTGCCTTATAGTCGCAGGGGGGAGGGGGATTAGCATAGCTTGTTAACCTGATTCTGAGTGATCCATGAACCATGGGTTTGCTCGAAGTGAATCACTCAGGATGGGCTCCGCGAGCCCTTTTGGCGGGCGACAATTATACCTCGAGACCATCTATATCGGTCAGCATAACTTCATCATAAATTTTTAAATACATAGACATTTTGTAAATTATGCTTACACAATATAACACCTTGAATGATAAACTGTTGTAGATTACTGGCCGGATGCTCGTCAAAAATAAGGTATAATATTGTAGTAGCATTTCCGGCACCTGTTGGCTTAAGGTGATACCTCGAAAATTTGGTGGTTTTTCTATTTCACATATTTCTTTAAGTTTTATATATTTTAAATTTATAGTTTTACAAATTTATGGTATATGATCATTTTGACTATATGATGTTGGATTACATAAAAGGATACTACGATTACATGTAATTTTCTCGATAGAATGAAAATATAAATTGGACTCTAATTAGTTACATTTCTCCACGTCACATAGTATAGTTAATATAATTTATCTATGTTCACATAAACCATTTTTTTAAACCCATGACGAAGTTTTGTTAAAAAAAATGTAGGTGTGTGCTATCTCATAATTTGCGCACATGAAGTAATTGCATCACTTTCATTTTGACACCTCCACATTCGTCCACCTAGAGCTTCACCGACAAAGGGCTAAGCCTAAAAATACGGTTCGTTTTCAAGTTATCCTTTTAATGGTATTTTAAGTCCGTGAAGGATATTTAATAGAAGTTTCATATTTTCTAAAAATATTTCAAGTAGGAGCAAAGCCTCGATCTCCGTTGTAGTGGCGTAGCAGCTTCACCCGTCAGCTTTTTAAAAATGACAGAAGAATGCCGTTTTCCATTTTTTTTTTTAATTTCAATACCAGTTGTATCATGACGATTGTCGATCGAGGCGAGCTCCGCATGCCAAAGTATTGTGCGGCCGTCTCTATAAATGTCAAAGTTGAAAGATTCTGAACAAGGCCACTTGTCACTTGCGTTTAGTTAAGCATCGTTTGCCACGTCGCGCATCGATCAGATGCTAAACGTGTGTCTAATAACAACGATAGAATGGTTTTCATTTTTTACGCAATAAATCCTATAAATTTATCATTTCGACTTCGGCTACTTGGATCAACTCCTAAACGAAGCGTGGCAATTATATTATCACACACGGGAAACGGTTATGTCCAACAGAGTACTTTACGGACTTATAAATAAGGTGAAGTTATTTATTTTTAGCTAATTCCTTGTTGTCGTTTGCAAATCTAGAAAAAAATATTTAATAACTTCGATCGATAGGTCGAAATATTAATGCCATCACTAGTAGCTCAAGCGACTGCTTTTGACGGATGTGATGCAAGCTTTAAGTACTGCACACATGGGCGGAGCAGCCCTCGGCCTAGTACTATGCATACATTGCTAAATGTTTCGTGGCGTAATCCTTATGCATTGTAATTCTATCGCCTTAAAATACGTTTCGTATGCTCAAGATTTTGTTTTATTCACAATGTCATTCTTCATAATGAACACGGTTCTATAATTTTCACGCACTACTTAGTGGTGGTTACAAATAATTAGTTATATCAAAGTAATTGTGTGGACTGTTTATGTTAAATTTACCCGAAAGTTCCGTTCCTATAATAATTTAAGCTATGTCGCTTTTACAAAATGAAATCATTACATTACAAACAAAATATTACTCTTAAATAATGACTAGATCTATGAATATGCACGTGAACTCGTATATCATCATCGTCCTGGGAATAGTCCCCTAACGAAAGACCATTTTCACGTTCCAAAAATAGTTCGTAAACAGTCGAGCCGCCATACACAAACCTGATACACAATATACACATGATACACAATATCATAAACGCGACTGCTGATAATGAAATCCCGGTTTTGAACTCCGGTCGGCCCAAAAAATTAGTAACTTATTTTTTTTTATAGGATAGGGTGACAAATGAACACACAGTCCACCTGATGGTAAGTGGTTGCTAGGACCCATAGACATCCACATCTATCCTCAATAAGGAATCATAATTCAGATGCGTTTTCATCCGCGAGGACTAAGATGGAATGTCTCTTTTCCAGTAAAAAGGGTCTCCGGTTCTCTACACTCACCATACGAAACACAGTATCAAGCTGCTATTTTACGCTGGTATTATGTGTAAGCGTGGTCCTGCCCCGGTCGAGCCGACCCATTCGTGCTACAACTATACTACTAATATAGCTGCAGCATAGCTCTACCACTTATTGGGTTTTCATGTCAAGAAATTCTCTGTAGCATCGCGGAGTTACGAAGTGTAAATCATGGTAATTTGGCCTAAGCCTGATTTCCCTACGGTTTTGTCGAATTGCTATCCCATCGGACTATGTGAGTGAGAGAATACATGCGCATACTACACTATAATATTGTCCAGCGCAGATGTCTATTCCGCGTTGAGACTCGCCGCTACGACCGAAATACGGTCTGGAGGACAATTAATGAATTACGTTGAACTCTTGGAAAAATATATATTTTTCCAAGATTGTTATCACAACATTTCATCATTATTTCAGATTATCAAAGTACACGGCTGAGCATAAGCTTCCTAGATAAATTTCTGTTCTTTCTTTCTTTTTATTTTTTAACCTTACCCATTATAACGTGCAATAATATAATAATGAAGTGTAAATAGTTGTCTTATGGTGAATAATAAATTATATACAATGTTTTGTGGTTTGATTTCTTTTAAAAAAAAAAAACGTTACCTCCGCACTAGGATCTTCTCCTGTATCGTGGAGGCAGTTTACAAACAAATTGCACAAGGACAAATATCCAGACCCGGAACAATTATTTGTAGCCCATACAAATACTTGTTCCATGCGGGAATCGGACCCGCGGCCTCCAGCACTGCAACTCATTGCTAAGCCACTGCACCACAGAGCCGTCAAATTCGTCAAAAAAAAACGTCAAATAGAGATTGCATCATAGAAGGCTCCCCACATCTGTCACAGTTGTTATCAGGAAGATGCTGTGGTCATCCTCTGTTTCATTATCCCTCTATCGCTTCTTAGAATAGAATGAGGATAGGTACGATATTGGGTACCGAATTTTTTTATTATGCTACTACTCTACTCTGTGGATTAAGTATAAAAACATTTAATTTAACTCAATTAAAATAAATCCACTCAATTCACATAAAAGCAAATGTAATGAGCGATTGCATTGAAATTTCATCGTATGCAATCAATCGAGTTCGATTTCCGTCGGCACCAATAAATTGTTGATTACAACTTAAAGTACTGTTTTAGTGCTGAGCAATGAAAAAAAAAAACATTGTGGAGTAAAGCCCGTTTCCTTAGGAATGCAAGTTTTACCGTTACAGCCTATTAAAGTTCACTGCTGAACATAGGCCTCGTGTATTGTATTGTACCACAGCAACAAACTCTTCTCTAACCCAAAACTCTCTCAGAAATGAGACGACTACTACTAGCTGTATAATACATATTTAAACGGCTGTCATAATATAATTTGTTGGCGTTATAAGTAATTTGATCCATGCATCGTAATTAATACGAATACAA